CTATACACTGAGAGTTTTGTGAACTTGCATTTACTACTTTGGTGAGACCATAATTTATTTTTTTTAATAGCCAGGCATAGCATATTGTTTAATCATTTTGGTTTATTATTTTAATTGAAATTTAAAAAAAATTATGTATCTCTTGTCTCTGAAAATGCAATTCTGGTAAATCTAAACATATGAAACCAGACTGGTGACAACAGCAATTTCTTCTGGAACACAGAACCAAGAACAAGAAGAAAGAGTGAAAAGTAGCTTAAATTAGTTTATACTTGCCATCAACCTAATTTCCAATAGCCTAATTTTCTTCTTGGCACAACATTAAACTTTGCTAGCTTCCTTGATATTGACTGGACTATGAGGAAGGAGCAATACACATACATTGAGAGATATTTTATATAAAAACGTATGTGTTACTTCCAAAGGAATATATATATTTCTAAAAAAGAAGTATCTGCTATTTTCATCATTGGTTCCCTGCAATAAAGGCAAGAACAAGGGAAAATAAAGTTTCCCAGTCTTCTATTTAAAGCACTAGATAACCGGCTATATTAATCAAACTGACTAATAGCATATGAGATATTAAATTTTTGAGACAGCATTCCAGTAACTTCTACAGATAATACACAAGAGCAGGGACAAGATTAAGTCAAGGAGTGTCCAGCAGTATTTTTGCATTCTATTTGGTGCACGGCAATTGAAAAATATTTTGGCATTCTGATAATCTCCTCGAGTTGGAAGCTCAATGAGTCAAGAGTTGCCATTTGAAGAATAGTAACAAGTCCTGTCCTAAAGAGTGTCCACACCAGTATTGTTTAAATACTTACATAATTCCCAATCATATTCTTTGCTCTGCTGTCATAATACTCCAGACGCAGTTCTTCTGGTGAGACATCCGAAAAGCCTGCAAGGACAGGAGTACCTCAAAAACCTCCAAGAAAACACATTCATATTTACAATCACCCTCCCTAGTTATGAAGAAATGGGCCTTGGTACTTTGTCTGTCCTAAGTCAGTCACAGTCAGAGACACAAAAAAGATCCATTACAGAACTTCAGAGGTGTGAACGTCCAAAATTAATTTGCATTAATCTCATATTCCTTTCTGTTGTATCACATGGCAAATCATCACCTTGCAAATGGTTCCACAGAGGTACAACAGTGTAGGCAAGGCACAGAAACATCCTAAATAGCAGCAATATGCAACAATACTAAAAACATTACCTACCTGAGACATTCAGCTTTTCTTTCATTGGTGAGTAAGATGAAAATATCCATTGTCCAGAAGATTCCCAAATTTCCATGTCTTTCACTACACATTCTCTACAAAACAAAGCAAAACCACAGATGAAGGTGAAATTACATGGTCAAAACAAAACCACCAGAAACAATTGCCTGGTTTCTGTCCAAAGTCAAAATCAATACCTGCTACCATGAAAACAAAGTGTTTCCCTAAACAGTTAAAATCTTAAAAAAATTAATGGAAAGTGGTTCCAAAACCTTTTTTCTTTGGGAAATCACATTGCTTGTTGCTTCTTAGCACATGCCCTGTAATCACCTTGAATCTGCTGGTCACTCTCAACTGACTGTAACACGTCTGTGTGAAACCAGGTTTCAATAGTTATGCTGTTGGTAGAAGAATTTGTTGTCTTGTCTGTAAAACCAAGTCAAATAATTCATTTTCCCAAAGGCACTCTGACCCTTTATTTTCAAGTACTGAAATATTTGTTTTATTCCTTTATCCTCCTGCTCACAACTTAAATACCATACCATCTTACTAGTATCACAGCTGTTTAGCTGCCCAGCTCAGGTCCCAGACACAGATTGCTTCCTTCCCATGCCAGCATCATTCCAGAGAACCAAATGAAGTCGTGTTCTCTATTGTTCTTTCTACATGTCCCAGCTTCCTCCTCATGATACTGTTCTCTGCACTATCTCTAGGAAGTTAGTAAGCTTTTAAGCTGCTCATTCTAAATGCTTTCAGTAAGACAGGAGTATAACTTACAGAAGTCTCTCCTCTTCATCTTTAGAGCCATCAGCAACACTCTGACTGTTCGCTAATGCCGAGAACCTGTTCTGCGAGAAGTCTGCATTTCTGCTGCTGCCGCCTGATGATCCGAAGTCAGAGGAGCCAAAGAATCCTCTTCCATGATCTCTGCTGCCACCCCATGTATCAGACTTGAAGGTAGATGGCTGGATAACACTGCTGTATCTCTGGTTAGAGGAACCCCATCCTCCTCCTCTTCCACTAGTAACTTCCAAATAAAAAAACAAAGAAAGCAAGCAACAGAAATTTTTAACCATTAAGATATGAAACAAAGAGCACCAACAAAAACTGTAAGTATAACCAGTCTTATGGTGGCAATAAGAAGTTTAAAATGAAAATGTAGTTTTTTCCTAATGAATTAACCTCGTTATTTTGTGAGCTTTACCTAGTGAGTTACGCATGGTAGTTCAGGAGTCAGAGGTAAATGGGAACTCCTTCTCCTCATGTGGAACCACGGCATAGTTTGGGTTGGAAGGCACCTTTAAAAATCATCTAGTCTGACCTCTCCCATACCATAATGAGCAGAGACACCTTCAACTAGATCACCGTGCCAATAATACGTGGCATCCCAGAAAGAGACTGTTTCAGTTTTGTTGAGGTCATTTCATGAAGAAACTACCCTAGCAGAAAAAAAATTAACTCACCATGTGTTTACATTAGGAGCTCCTGCCTCCTGCTCTGCTGCAGCACAGAGAGCTCCAGAGTTCCGTTCTGAGACCTTAAACACATCTGTGCGTGTGTGTTACAAACTCCGACCCTCCTTCAGCAGGAATAAGGACAAGAAACTGCATCCGTGTTCCTGCCATCACTACAGCTCTCAACTCCCCGTTGCATCACTTGCCTTTCCAAAGCTCCCAGACACACAGAGCCAATGAGAATGGAAACAGCCTTCACTGGCCACAACATAAGGCTACTGGAAACTTGCTCACTACTCTTGGCAGGGAAGTTTCCTGAGCTGCTTTCCCGTGGCATTGTGGCACATCCCACGGTCACAGAATCACAGTATCAAGTAGGGTGGAAAAGACCTCTGAGGTCATCGAGTCCAACCTATGACCAACACCACCATGTCAACCAGACCATGGCACTAAGTGCCACGGCCAGTCTCTCCTTAAAAACCTCCAAGGACGGTGACTCCACCACCTCCCAGGGCAGCCCATTACAATGTCTAATCACCCTTTCTGTGAAGAAATTCTTCCTAATGCTCAACCTACACAGTCCCTGGCACAGCTTAAGACTGTGCCCTCTTGTCCTGTTGCTGATCGCCTGAAGAAGAGACTGACTCCCACCTGGCTACAACATCCTTTCAAGTAGTTGTAGAGAGTGATAAGGTCTCTCCTGGGCGTCCTTCTCTCCAGGCTAAACACCCCCAGCTCCCTCAGTCTCTCCTCACAGGACTTGTGCTCCAGACTCTTCGCCAGAGCCCAACCCCGTGCGTGCCAAACCAGAGGCTGCTGCCGAGACTCCCGGGCCCGGCCCGCCCGGCTCCGGAGCTCCTGCCGGCCGGGGGCCGCCTCCAGCCGGCCCGGCCCGGCCCGGCCCGGCCCGGCCCGCTGCGCTCGGAGTACCTTGTGAGGGCGGTGCGGGGCCCCCGGGGCGGCCGGCGCCGCGGGGGTGCTCGTTCCAGCAGCGGTCCCCGAAGCGGCAGTACCCCCGCAGGAAGAACTGGCACACGCCCATGGCCGCCCCGCCGTCGCCGCCGCTCTGACGTGCCAGGCGCGCGCCGGGAGGAGCGAGCGCCGGCACGAGCGCCGCCGTTGTGCCCGCGCGCGCGCTGCCCCCCGGGGGCGCGCGCTGGGAGCGGGGGCTGCGGCCGGAGCGGGGATGAGGGCACGGATCCGGTCGGACCGGGGGATAACACACCGACAGGCTGCTGACAGAGCCAAATTAGGATTTGACTGGAGCTTTGTGCAAACCCATGGTCCTTGGCACAGTAAAATACCCTCCCGTCGGCTGTAATCGCACCTTACTCACATAAGCCCCTTTCCCACAGAGCCCGCGTGGTAAAATATTTGTGTGCTGTATCTTTACAGGGAGACCAAGGAATGTATTCCCTAGCCCATGGCTAGGGAATCATAGAATCATCAAGATTGGAAGAGACCTTTGGGATCATCCAGTCCAACCTTCAGCCCAGCACTACCTCTGTAACCCCTAAATTATTGTTCCATTTCCAAATGATGTATGTTTACCAGTGGAGTCGTGTAACTATTGAAGGTCTGGGCCTTAGGGTAGAGGACTTGGGTAACTTGAATGTTACTAAATCTAACAACAGGAACATGCTAATCCGCAATTCTTCCCTGTAGCTCTCTAGGAGGCATCCTGAAAAAGCGGAATAAGTTTAGAGGAGATCACATGACTAAAGATAAAATGAAAAGATATTGTAATCATTGGTGGCCACTTGATAAATTGGAGGATGGGGAAAACATGTAATTCCATTTTAATATTATCTTACAGTTGATGACTTGCTAAATGGGATAATCAGGTTTTATGTGCAAATGTTAGTTTCCCCCATTCCACCCCTACATTGGGGCAGAGATGGATAAAGAAGATACAGATCAAAATACAGAGTATGTGGGAAGTGAGGATTTTAGTCCTGAGATATACCCAGCCAGTGATACAGGCACCTTTAGGACAAACAGTGAGGGCAGAGAGTCTGCTTTTTTTTTTTTTTTGGTACACTTTTACTACTTTGGATTTGTTGAACTGGAAATGATCTGTTGGTTCATACTGAGTCAGCTTTTGGAAACTGTTATGCCGACTCATAACCCTCATTGGGGGGGAAATGCAGGCTATATTGAACATCTTTTTACTGTGAAACAAAAGAGAATAGTATTAGAGAAGGCAAAAGGATATGCAGGGTTGTGGGGTCTGAAACTGCCCCTCCTTTT